GAGAGAGAGAGAGAGAGAGAGAGAGAGAGAGAGAGAGAGAGAGAGAGAGAGAGAGAGAGGCACGTGGTGGGGATGGAACAAAAGACACAGAGAACGAGCGGGAAGGTGCACATGCGCACCCAGGATCGCCAGTGCGTGCGTGCGACATACAGACAGACAGAGAGAGAGAGAGAAAGAGGAGTTGCCTATGGTACTGTTGTCTGAGAACCTATGCATTGCACCAGCTGAGGTGTGCAACAGAACCCCATTGCTAGTGTGTCACTGTATGGGGCGCGGCCTCCTGATTGGAACCGAGTGCGAATCGTCCATCATCAACTGTCAGAAGGTACCACATGGGGAGCTTGGTGGGCCTCTGCACTCCCCTCGGTGAGATACTCCCAACAGTCATCCTGCCTCGAAAAGAGCACAGGTGTGGCGTTGCCCGATGCTTTGTTTTGGTGGCAGCTGCTAAGCCAAGCCATCATCTTGAGAGTCGGGGGGGGATGGGGGATGGGGGGTGGGGGGTTGGGTGGGGAGGGTTCACCTCACGTCTTCCCCGTCCACCACACTCTTCCACATACCGCTAACTCACTTCTGTCAGTTTCCTGCGAACACATCCTAGAAAAAAAATGCCAGTGTGTCTACTGGACGTACAACCTGTGAGTTAGCGGAGGGAGGGTCCTCAAGGGTGTTGGGGGCAGCGTTCTTCAACCCACGGCACAGAGTCGAATAGCAGGAGGGAGGGTCCTCAAGGGTGTTGGGGGCAGCGTTCCAGTTGCTCGGGGTTCTTTCCAAGTGCCCCTGGGGAAGAGAAAAGAAAGCTTTACCCTTGTGGTTCAAGAATCCTGTGAACGTGGGGGGGGCGCTATTAGGGATGCCGTCCACCTGGGATGCCCCCATCCTGCGGGAGCTCTCCATGGTAGTGAGTCGAATAGCAGGAGGGAGGGTCCTCTAGAGGGGGGGGAGGGCAGCGTTCCGGTTGCTCGGGATTCTTTCCAAGTGCCCCCGCGGAAGAGAAAAGAAAGCTTTACCCTTGTGGTTCAAGAATCCTGTGAACAGGGGGGGCTATTAGGGATGGGGCTATTGGGGATGCCGTCCACCTGGGAGGCCCCCATCCCGCAGGAAATCTCCTGCTAGCAGGGAAACACACCCATGGAACAGAGTCGAATAGCAGGAGGGAGGGTCCTCTAGGATGTTGGGTGCAGGGCGCGGGAAGCGTAGTAGTGGCCATCTTAGCCGCATTTTTGGCTATGTAGCCCCTTCACGTCCTCGCGTATCCATGCCCAGTCTTGTCTGTTGCTACATCCTGCTTTCCCATGTCCAACTGATTCCTTACAAGCCACTTTGGCCCACGTTTCTGACTGTGGAACCGCCTCGTCCATTCACCTCCCTGCCCATGACAGTACACCCTTGAAACGGTTTCACCCAGTTGACCCAACAATTGCAGACACTGAGATTGAATCCCTAGACCTTTGCCTGAACCCTGTACATTGACCCGTGTGTGCTGAGTGAGATTCGAACCCGTGACCTGTCCCCAAACCTTTTGGTTAGTCAGTAGGTCTGTCCGTTAGCTGTTAGGCTTTGATCCACAGATCTCCGTTTTAACAGGTTAGTGTCGTACCACTAGGTCTAGCTAGGGCCCATCTAGAAGTCTCTACCAGTCTGTACGTATGGGCCAAACAGTCTCTCCGTAGGTGGAGTCTAGAAGGTCGTAGGGCTGTCTGTGTCTGTCCAGTCAGCAAGTACCAGGCAAGTGGGGAGTTCCAGGCGGTAAGTCCCACGCGTTTTGACCTAGCAGGCCAACGCGTCTGGAGACTTCCTGGCTTCGAGCGGTTTGCAGGGCCCAGGCCCTCACGTGGTTTGGGGCCCAGACCCACGCAGTTTGGGGCCCAGGCCCACGCGGCTTGGAGCCAGGCCAGGCACCTCCGGAGCAGTATAAATAAAGAGGCAGTGTCCAGCCATTCATTCATTTGCCTGTGAGCCATGCGGAAGCGCTGCCTTGGTGACTTGTGCGTGGAGGTCTGCAGGTGCCCGGAGTTGAAGTGGGCAGTGAGGTAGACGACGGCCATAGCTGGCCAGGAAGATGACGACGGTGGCCATAGCTAGGAGGAGGAAGATGATGGCGGTGGCCATAGCTAGGAGGAGGAAGACGACGGCGGCCATAGCCGCCTAGCTGTTGTCACAGACAGGATGTACATAGTGTGTGTGTATGTGTAGCGTGGACATTCAGGGTTGATCCTCATACATGCGTGCAAGAGGGAGAGTGAGGCTGGTGGTGGATACAGTGTTCGGCGGCCATAGCCGCAAGTTGTACAGTTGACTTGGACTGAGTTTAAATACAAGTTCATTGGTGATTCTGAGTTGAAAGAGTTTGGTTTTGGCATCAGTCCGCATGTGTGCATGTTACAAGCAAGTGTAAAGTGCAGTCTGATTTCACCCTAAGCAATGTTAGGTGGGGGAATTAGGGGCCAGCTGGGGCCGGTAGGTGTCAGTCCCATGTTTTTTTTTTTTTTTTTATTAATAATAAAGGGCAACAATGGTCGTTGAACTTTACTGGCCCAGGGAATTCAGAATTATTCTGAACTCTGTTGGTCTCGGCGCATCTGGATTCGAACTTGGGTCTGCATTTTAACAGCTCATGTGTGTACCAACTGAGCTAGGACCATTTGTTGTCCCAGGAAAATCAATCAAGGGATTTTTCAGGGCATGCACGCAGCCGCGCCAAGGGACATCCATCCAGGCAAACCGGGTCTTGCATGCGACCCATTTTGCCTGGATGGATTTCCAGCGAAACGGCACCCTGGTACATCCTGCCTAATGCTTGCACGCCCCGTCCTAGAAAATTTGGCTGGGAAACATTCTAGTGGCTTAATCATGCCTATAAGTTCCAAGGACTTTTTTTTTTTTTTTGGTTAAACCACTAGAACCTTTGCTGCTTCAGAAATGAGGGAAAACGCCAGTCCCCGAAGAATTCGGAGGCCAGGCCCGACGACGGCTGCCATTGATAAATCTAATCGATGGCCTTCATTTCCTTTTGGCCTCTTAAAGGTCGGAGGCCCGCTATTGTCCAAACCGACAAACGTACTAGTGGTTCAAAATACTTTTTTTTTTTTCACTTGGGCTGTGTTCTGGACTTCAGTGATTCAAAACTCTTTGTGGAGAAAAAAGGGATAGGATTCCTGTGACGAACTGTTTTCTGCAACAGCGCGACTTTCTGCGCAAGGCTACTTCGGGGGTTGAATCGGGTCGAGTCAGGATGGCCTGGTAAATTGCAAAGGTGCTCTTGCTTTTCTCGTCTTTTTCGGAATCGAGGCCGGGATAGCCCCATGACGGGTGGTAGTTGATCGCGCCTTAGCGAGTGCGAAGGGTAACTGTTGCCATAGCTTCTTTCTTGTTCTGCTGTGGGATATGGGAATTTTGGCGCGAGGAAAATCTTTTTGAATTTTCAACTGGTATCGAGACCCCGCGGGCTCTTGGAAATTGCTTTGTTCGGAGGTTCTTTTTGTTCGGAATTTCTTCTTGCAATTAGGATTTAGATTAGGAATTTGGGCGCATCTCAATTTCTGCCGCACGGCGCTTCTTGCTTGCGCACACCTTGCCGCGTCAGGATCTGTGCTCTGACTTTTCGGCGCCTTAGTCTTGCGTGTAACTGTAATTTTTGTTTTGGCGGGCGTGATTGCATCTGTAATCCTCTCATTCTTGATATCTTTTCTGGCGCCCCTGTGCGCGCGTACTTCTCCCCCTGTCCTATTGGCCTGAACGCTTGCATGACGGGATCGATGTGCGGAGTGTGGCTACATCCCCCACGCCGCGGCCTGGCCATGCAGTCGTAGGCACTTCCTTCCTCCTCCTTCCTCCCTACTCAGATACAACCCCGGGTATCTCGCGCAAGCATGCATGCTATAAATTTTGCAAGCTATTAACTCGCTCTCTATGGATTTTGGAGTTAGCGCGATCGAGAGGATCAGCTAACGAGCAAGAGTTGGAAGGCGAGTAAAGAGTTGGGCAATCCAACGAGCTGGTGCTGGGTATGCGGGGTTGATGTGGGGCTGCAACGGACTGTGGCACACGGGCAAACCTGGCTTGCATGCTCGGACTAAGCGGGGTGACAACTGTGTGGGTGCAAGGCGACGGACTGCCTGCATCGAGATGCGAAGAGAGAGAGAGAGAGAGAGAGAGAGAGAGAGAGAGAGAGAGAGAGAGAGAGAGAGAGAGAGCGAGAGAGAGAGAGAGAAAGAGAGAGAGAGAGAGAGAGAGAGAGAGAGAGAGAGAGAAAGAGAGAGAGGGACGGCATGTGTTGTGATGGTGTTTCTCTTCTACTACTCTGAGTAATTTTGGTACTTGGCGCACGTCGCCCTTGTCTTTTTGGGATCGGCATCTCGGATTTTTCCTTTGTTTATTCTAAAAGACTGGTGTGTGATTGTCTCCCCCGCTTCCCTTCTCTTTTTGTCTGAATCATGTTTGGTTGGTCTCCTGCGATCGAACCTTGTGTGATCTCCGGGGTAATGACCAAAGAATTGAAGCATGAAGCTTACCAAATCCGTTGTGTTATATGTATGTGTGATTAAAGCTGGATGCATAGATGTTTGTTGTGTTTTGTCTGAGTATGAAATAGATGAGCGTGCTATATGATTAGATGTTTGTCTCACTATAGGATTACTCGCTGTGTGAGCTGCTGGCCTTCATCACCGAAGGACAGGTCTTGTGCACGCACGTGTAAGCCGATCAAGGATTGTCGCCACTTACACGCGTTTGCGAAACCTGTGCTCAATCCCACTTCCCGAATGTTTGAGTTTTCGCCTCACCCTGCAGTATGAATATCGAAATCCCCTCTCGTATCACTGATCGCGAGTGCTTGAGGGATTGGGAATTCCGGGGATATTGGGAACACGCTTGCTTGTCCGCACGATCAAGGATGGACCCTCCGGAATTTCCCTATTTAACGGGGAACGAACTCGTTTGTGAGTGGGACATCGATCAGGCCTTGGGACGTATCCCCCATCTCCCCAGCTGTCCCAACCCCTACACGTGTCACGTCGTCAAGGAACCCGGAATCATTATCGTGGGGACCGAATTCCCTCCCTATCACCGCATCCTACCCTATCACTCCCTAACCAACGTCCCCTGGCGCGCCATCGCTCCTTACTGGCCCCAACCCCCGTGCTCAGAGTGTCTGCAGGACCACGAGTACCAAGCTTCCGGCTTCACCCGGCGAACTCGCTCAGAGGAAAAATGACGGGCGCACATCCTTCGACGTTCAACGTCGGCAGGTGACCAACCAGCGGGATAGCCATAGCGTCCCGATGGGGCACCAGATACGAGTCCGACCCAGACGACGGAACCAACAGAGGTGGTAGCCCTGCTTTCCGAAGCACAAAACAGGACTCCGATCTGCGCCTACCCTCTTGCATTCGCATCTCTGAAACTTGGCACCGGAGATCTTAGTTCTGACCTGGGACTCCACCCCCACTTTACTAAAATCCTTGGCACACCCCCTTTCGCACTTCCAGGCCCACTCCCACTCCGATCAGGAAGTCGCGCTGGGCGTGAGGTTGGGGCGTCACATTCCCGCGATTCAAAACCGCTGTGAAGCTCCGGTGAGCGGATGAGGACGAGCTTCGCATGGTGACCAGTCTATGGAGCGCCAGTGGTCAGTGTATTTTTTTTCTTTTTCTTTTTTTTTTTTTGTGTGTGTGTGGGGGGGGGGGGGGGGGGGCAAGTACGTTGGAGTCACACCCGACGCCAAGAATAGGCAACTTTTTTTAGTAGTTCCCGAAATTATGGTGCAAGAAAGGCGACCCTACCCTAAACCCTAAATCTGCTGAGCGCCACTGCGGGTAATGAATGACTAGGGCAGTTTTAGACCCCTGCTAAACTACTTGCACATTTCGAAAGTCACACTGCTTTTTCTTTTTGAAACCAAGGCCGTCCCAGGTCTGCTCTCGTGGGGGGGCCGGGGGGGGTGGTGTTGGATATGGTGACCGGTGGTCAGTGTTGACAATTGCACATTGGGGTTTATGGGACACTGGACCCGGTTGCCGGCAGGTGCCACTCCCCACGAAGAGATCGGAGCTCTACCCATATTGGATGTTGCTACCGTCTTCACCGGAATAGAACGCCCGGTCATTATAGCTCTATTTGGCTCAACTTTCAGCCCAGATGCGGCGATAATTACCGAGCGTTCTATTCGGGTGAAGATGGTAGAGGGGGTGGGGATGATGCTCATATCACCCCCTCTAGCACGCCGGCGCAGGGTTTCAAAGAAAAAGGAAAAAAGAAAGGAAGCATTGGCAATTGACTGCATGAGAGTGTTCGTGTGCGGTGTTGGGTGTTGGTGTGAGGGAGGACCAGCAGTGTGCGTTTCCCAGCCATATTTCGAAGACGGGGGCTGTGTGCAGGCCCCGCGTTCTTTATGGGGGTCGGCCTGCCGGAAAACAATGGCTAGTGGCGCGATCCCAAATGAAGGCCGGCGCCGGTTCATTTTCATTGTGGAGCGCGGCACTTGCTTCAGTTGGCGCTGCCAGTCATTGTGGGGACCACCACCAGATAAGGGAAGGGTCAAAAGCACTGGTGGGGGGTTTAAGAGATGTGGCCTTTGTGGAAAAGATCGTAACCCACTTTTGTGCATGGTGAGACTTGGCGGTTGTGGGGACCACCGTTCGATTCCGTGCGCGTGTGGTCGGATGGGATCCAAGTCCTGAAAATACTGATAAAATTTTTATGGAGTTTTTAGAAAACACCATTGCGGACTACATGACCCACTCAGGAAGGCCTTCCCTTTTTTCTGTTTTTTTCTTTCATATTGTTACACTTTTTTTTTTTTTTTTTTTTTAACGATATTTTATTTGTTACGTCTTTCTTTCCTTGCTGTCTTGCAATGATGTACCAGAAATTGAAGGACATATTTGTGTCCGCCGGCCCTGATATCTACCAGTGGCATTTTCACCTCATCGCTGACTACATGACCCACTCCGGAAGGCCTGTAGCCTGCACGAATGCTGGATTTAAAGATTTTCTCAAGGGTCTCGACATGCAAGCTCCATTCACTGAGGCATCATACCAGGTGCAAATACTTTTCTCTCTTTTTTTTTTTGTCCCTTTTTTTTTGTTGAGGCCGGGTGGAGGGGGGCTTAGATGAAATTTCTCTACTCGGTGCTGTGGCATTCGCTTTATTTGCACCAATGCTGGATTTAAAGATTTTCTCAAGGGTCTCGACATGCAAGCTCCATTCACTCAGGCATCGTACCAGGTGCGGATTCTTTTCTCTCTTTTTTGTTGTCCCTGTTTTTTTTTTTGTTTTTTTTTTTTGTGGGGTCCGGGGGGAGGCCTTAGATGGAATTTCTCTACTTGGCGCAGTGACATTCGCTTTAGGGCATACTCGCATTAGGACTGTTTTTGATTCCCCTCTCGACATAATCAAGGTCAGATGCATGCAGGACAAACCGCAAATCCGGTCAGGTACATTCAAGAAGAAAGT